CTGCTGCCCCGGGAGAGCCCCGTGCCAGCCCACAGGGAGCAGCCAGCCCACAGCACACCTGGACAGTTTTCTTTTGTTTTTCACTCCCTTATCAACTTTTCTCTAAGCAATTATAATTCAAACTTAGCAAAGCTGCATTTTTCACTGGAGACTTCTTACTTGCCAAGACTTTGGCAATGAAACCATTATGCAATAAATGATGGTGGTGATAACTTTCTTTTGCAAAGTGTTTGTTTTTCATCCTTCTTTCATATGTTTCATCAATGGGGCTACAGTTCAGGGTGTGTCAAAATAAACATTAATCTTATGCCAGAAACTGTAAACCCCAAAAAGCAGATATGTATCAAATAAAAGGATGTAGTGTTATTTGAGAAATAATAAGAAAAGTTAAAGAAAGAATCTGATTTTCACTGTAGTTTTAAGCCATGTAAATGCTGCATAAAATAAGTGACACCTGAGGAATCAACCTCACATTACTCATCAGTGACAGCAAGATCTGTTTTCAGTTGGTAGCCATTGTACAGGACTTTGTAGTCAACTTCCAACATCAAGGATTTCCCACCATGTCCTCAGTGTTGGCACCAAGATTTGTATCAGATATGAATAGAGTCTAGTAACTGTGTGATGCAGCTGAAGAAATCACAGTAAAAACTTTCCAGTGCCCCAAAAAATGCTTCAGTTGCAGCTCAATGGACCAAAGCTATGTGGCCTGCTGAGCCAAGAGCAAGCACTACATTGTCCAAAACCTCTCAGGCATTGTGTAGATATCACTAATCCTGTACTTTGAGCAGCAGCTGTTGGAGTGGTGTAACATGATGTTTTGTTGCCGCTTTGTCAGCGCAAAGAATCACAGAATAATTCAGGTTGACTATCTCTAGGCACTCAAAGGTACCCAAGGAGTAAGGGAAACACTAGGGGTAAGAACTTGGCTGGGATTTAAGTTGTTTGGACATGTGACTGTAGATCTTCACTGCTCACTTTGGATTGTATAGTAAATTGATGTTGGGTTTGACAGCTTGCTAGTATTTGAGATGCAACAATGCACTAGGAGATTATTCATGCTGAATTGCTAGTCCACATTTAGTTATATGAACTTGGTGGGTCACTGCATGCCTGCAGTGCATCTGTCTGCGAAGCACAGTCCTCTTCCCATGAGTAGTTTCCTATCCAGCTCATCAAACTGACTGAGAAGTCTTTCAAGGACCCTTTTTAAAGTGTTCCTACACACTGCCAACTTTTTCTGCCTTTCTGAGTCAAATCTCATTCATAACTTCTCTTCCAGTGCATGTTTCGTATATAAAAATAAATATTATATGGTATATATTATGCTATCTAGGGTCTTTTCCAGAATTCTTTTGTTTGTGTCTGATGCATACTGGAATTGTCTTTAAAGGCAAAGTCTGGAGCTCTAGTGACTCGGAGGCGTAGCTTTTTTCTTGCTGGTTAGATCAGATACAGTTGGCCTGATAACAGCAGATGCTGCAACTACATCAGCAATGCATCTGTCTAGGAATTGATGAAAGCAATGCAGTGTTCATGAAAATGAAATCACTGGCCTTCTAAACTTCTATACCACAGCAGCCTGTTTACCAATGAGCACTGAGAGCATGTGGTGCCAGGGTCATGTGCATCATCAGTATCCCGGGAACGTGTGCGTTTCTGTTGTCTTACCAGGCAATAAAACTACATAGAGCAGTTGGGCATTAACTGACTGTCCATTCTGGAGTTTTTAGAAGTCAAGTAAGATGGATACCTACTGCAGATAAAGGAACTGTGTTGTTATATGCCTACTAGGCTGAAGCAAGGGGGAAAGAAACCAAGTGAATTGGTAACAGCAATGAAGTTTGTAGAGTTTTAGTTCTGGGGTTCAGGAGGGACTGGGATTTAGTCACCCTGGCTGACAACAGATAAAAGCATTCCAGAGTCTGAAGAGAGCAGAAAGAGGCTTTTGGAACAGGAACTAGCTGATAAAGTCTAGAAACAACTTGTTATCAGATTATGTAATAATAGATTTCTTATTTGTTATAAATATGCAGCTTTATATTTGCCTGCATACACATGCATGCAGTTACTATAGTAATGAGGACTGCACACAGATCTCTGAATGTTGGAGTCTGGCCCCTGTTAAAATGTTTCTATAACACTGTACAGCTTTGGGAGGATTCTTCTGTCTGATGCTCCTTTTGGGGTATACATAAATAGAGTGATACTGAGAAAATGATTGTTCCTGCACTCTGTGGATACATAAACCTTACAACAGAGAATCCCTGCATATTTTATAGGAGGAATAAAGAATGCTACTTCTGTAGGAGGGATATTGGAATATTTATCAGGTTGATGTGTCAGGGAAGGGTTTTCTATCCTAATTGCCTTCCAGTAATCTGACTTTCAAATGCTCTTCCTTTGGATTTTTATCTACGTGTTCTCTCCCTTATGCTGACTGAAAGGTCTCTTGTTTCCAGGGTGAGCTAATACTGCTCCTAAATCAGTCAGTTGATATAGAGGAATAAGACTGTGGAGAAACAGAGTGGCAGAATGTTTCATTCTTTTGACAGTAAGGGAGGAGGTATTACAGGGGCAAGAATTAGGCGTCTAAAAGAAAAACTTGGGAAAATAAGATGCCTTGCTGAAAGCTAAAACTCTGTTGATGGGATGACTCCCAGAAAGGTAAATGAGAATGCAGAAGTCAAACACTCAGCTCAATATCTGGAATGGAAGAACGGGAGAAGAGTTTGGCTAGGGGTCAGGGAGATGTTGACTTGGCAGATAGAAGGTATGTAGCAGTGGCTGTAACCTGGGTAGTGCCACTGAGTGAGCAAAGTGAAAGCAAACAGAATTAGTCTGAACCAGAAATCTTGTCCTGAAGGATTTTGCTTGCTGAGGTATTAGAAAGAATTGCACAAAACTTATGTGAAGGAGATCAAATAGCATGGGCTAGGAAGAAAGTGTTTCACATTAGAGCAATATACGTAATAGGCAGGGAGAATTTGGAGGGACCCTGCAGCTAGATAGTTGTGGGTAATTTGGTGGTAAGTGCATAAATATGATCAGTTAATATCTCTAACTGTTGCTGTGCCAGCAGCAGGGAATTAGTCCTTAAAAGAGGGTGAAAGAGAGAAACAAGACTCGAACTCGGGGATATAGGGTCAGACAGGGAGTATGTGTAAAGAATGACAAAAGCTATTTAAATGACAAAGGAGGATTAACCCATGCACCTTTCTGGAGTTGGATTCACTGGATAATTTATTAGGCTAGCTCCTATTTCTAGCAGAGATCTAGATGTCTTGTGTAAAAGCAGTTGTCTGTTAACTGAAGTGAAAACTATGCTCTTAAAGTGAGGAGCTCGTGCCTTTTCTGTAGGCCTTGGAAAGTGACCTGGGTGGGTGCAGAGTTCTTGGTGAGTAGGATTAATACCCCTGCTATGGTGAAATTCTCCATTTCTAGGATGTTCCTCCACGCCAGTGGAAAACCCTTGCAATGGCAGTTACTAGCTGGGTGATCATCAGGGAGTAGCTTACGTGAGGATGCAGAAGGGACAACAGGAAGGAATGGAAACACAGCATGAGCAGGGAAACGCAGAGGATGGGGACGTGGGGTGCTGCGTTCAAGTCAAAAAGGGCTGTGTGAAACTAGAGGATGGATTGGGACCCAGACCCAAGGGTTACGTAGATTGGGTGTGATACTGTGTGTGTGGAAGGGAATTAGAGTACATATCAATAATTTTTCACCTGTTGTTTTCCTGCCTGTCCACTCTTCACTGCCCCAAATGTCCAAGTGCCCACATGGCATGCATTACCTTCTCAGTTGTGTAACATATACATAAACTGCCCGACATGTGCAGCTGCACAGCAAACCGTGTTTTTGCAGGGTCAGTCCCTGTGTAATCCTGCATTTACCTTCTTTTCCCAAGCAGAATTAATCCTGTTGCCTCTTGCAATTATTCTTTTTTCTCAGAATATTGCTATTCTTCCCTCTCAGTCCCCATGTCCTGCTGTGTGTGGGTCCCATCAGCTGCAGTAGGCCCTTTTTTCCTGAAATTAATGTTATTTCATGTGCTTCTAAGACAATGTATTTTGTTTGGTTCCATTGCACTTGTAACTTCTTGTCTATGTTATCATGCTTACTTCTCGTAGTGTCAGTATCCATTCAGACTTTCTAAACACAAAACTCATTAAGGCTGTAGCTACTGATGGCCCAGACTTTGACCTTGTCATTGGACACATTTGGGTAGGGGGAAAAAAGGTCCGTGTATGGAACTTTGTTGCACTAAAAAGTGTGTTCTGGGGATTTCCTGACTGCTTCCTTTATTTCTCTTAAGTACCTGGCTTGGAGCCAAGGATTTGGGATTAAGTGGCTCTGTTGACCTGGTGTGGAGTGACAGTGCTCGTAGTCCCTGAAGTAAATATTTGCCTTTGCTGCCTTGCTGAGAGGGAGATGTTATCCTTTTACAGATAGTTCTTCAAAAATGCTGAGATTCTGTGAATAGATGAACAATAACAGTTTAAGGGAGATTATAAAGATGGATGTGCTATATGGCTTCAGGAAGGTAATACTCCTAGATTTTAGAGGCTTGATGTTTCTGATGTATTATTCTCTGCCCCTTTTCGTATTAGGAATACAGCCCACCAAGGCAGTCTCTTTTGCAAGACAGCATATAGGATATCTGCTTAATTTTCATTGGGTTTTTTTTCTGTGTTGCTGTGTCCATTTGATATGTCTGTGGGGTTTCTTTATTTACAGGGCCGCCAGATGAAACGGCAGATTGATGCCTGGGGGAGCTGGGGTGAATGGGGCAGGTGCAGTCGAAGCTGTGGTGGTGGAGTCAGCTTTCGGCAGCGGCACTGCTATTCCCAAAGGTGAGGGCTAACCTCCTTTTTGTTTCTTTAAATGTGCTTTCCCGTTACTGAGCTCCTGCACTAATGTTCCAATATACATCCAGAACAAAATCAACCTAGTGTTTGATTCCAGGGGAATAAGTTGCCTGAGTCCACTTTGAGATGATCCTCAGCTTCAGGCTCATTGCTGCTGTTTTGAATAGCGCACTCTTCAACACATCCGTGCTTTGGCTCCTTTGCTAGAGCACAGTGGTTTCTCTGTGGGATCTGAAGCTGTGCATTCAGGTGATTGGGATGGCAGCAGCTGTTCAATCAGGTCTAGCAAGGCAGGCCCGGGGGGAGAGGGAGAACAGCCCAGAGCAGCAGGTTTCTCTCCTTGTGATTCCCAGGAAGGTAAATTGCCCCAGAAGGAACAGAAGAGTGGATTTGGCTCAAGCAGGAGTAATGCTGTGCCATCTCATTTGCAGCTGGGTTAGATGCACTGAGGACCATGACTGGGATTGCACCTGTTGGGAGCAATGGACTCAAGAGATCCTGTTGTGGATAAAAACAAAGAAAAGGAAAGGAAAAAAAAAAAAAAAAAAGCCAGACTCTCAATAATATCCTGAAAAAAACCAGTCTTTTTATGTTCAGAGAAATGAGAGGGGTTTTTTTAATAGAAGAATCCAGAGTTATGGAGCACTGCTGCTTCCCACCCGGAATAAAGATAGATCTCTAAAGATAGATAGGCTGCCCGTTACGCTATACACCTCTGTTATGGTAGACATCTACCAGAATCCCTGGGGCCCTGTCTCTCCCTTTTAGGAGTGCTGAGATATTAGACATTGGTTGGCTTTTCAGATCAATTTCCTCCATAACTGTTACTCTCCCTAATTCTCAGCTGGAGTCATCTGAGTGGAATGAGGGTGTTGCACACTTCCCATAGGCGTGTTTAGCTCTTCCTACTAATGTGCCTAGTGTGCACATAAACAGCATGATAGATGATGAGCATAGATACCTGTTCTGAATTGGCCACTACCCTCCGGCTGCTCATAACATGCTTCTGGTTCTGGTATGGACACCTCGACTGATTGCTGATGGACAAAGGACTAAGAGCTCTGCTTCCATTGTTTAGTTGAAACATGACCCTGAAGAGCTACACTGCAATCGTTCATGGTGTGAGTCTCATTCATGCCAGAATGAAAACCATAGCAGAAAGGGGCATTAGAAGATGCCAGCTTGCTTTAGTGAAAAAGAAGTGCATTTTAGTTATTTTGCTGTTTCAGGAAACTGTGTGAGGGTGATATGCTCGATGTGAAGGTGATTTGTAACATCTTCCATGAGATGATTTTTTGCATGTGTATTCTTTGGGGTGCTTCATGTTGTTTTTCTGTTTTTCAGGACAGAAGGTGCTTCCAGTTGTATTGGACCAGCTCGAAGCTATCGGTCATGCAACATTCAGGTACAGTGCTCTGTTTCTTGGTTTTGCTTGCCTGCTGCTCCTTTTCCCCAGACAAACATCATTCTTGTTCAGAAGTAATATGGCCTTATTAGTTTCTCTTCCTCTGGCATCACTGGTGAATGCAGTTCATCAACGTGCTTCAAAAGCATATTGAATTTATGCCCCTGATTTTATATGGGAGCAATAACAAATAAAACGCCTATTTTCATTGTGCACTAAATTTTCCTCCTTTTTATTACGGCCTAATGCAAACATTTTCTCCTCCAAACAGAGCTGCCCAGAAGGCTCACAAGATTTCCGGGCAGAGCAATGTGCAGAGTTCGATGGGACAGAATTCCAACAAAAGAAATACAAGTGGCTTCCATATTATGGAGGTAATGATAAACATGTAGGGTTGCACTTCATCCCTAACTATCAACAGTATGTTCTGAAGTGACTGTAATCTTTTGGACTATAGTATCCTTGTAGGATACTTCCTTAGCTGGAGGGTGGCATGGAAAAAATCTTTTTGCCAGAAGCAAAACATTGCTGTCATGAAGACACTGGGTGCATGGGCCAAGAGGCAGCTCGCATTGCAGTAATGCATAGTTGTCTTGTAACAGCCATTCTTTCAGACACATTGCTCAAGAAAGCTAGAACTGGTTGCTGCTAGGTCCTAAAGTATTAGAGAAGCAGAAGCTCTGCTGTATTTTTCAATATTGGCAAAAGAATATTAGCAGGGCACAGGAGAAACAAATGCATATAACTAATGAGTGCTTCAGAAAATAGGACTTCTCTTTCAAACAGCCCATGCTTTCTTGGGGAACCAGCTCAGAAGGCAGGTGTAGGAACCAGAGGTCCTTGCTCTAAGCTTAGATATGTTATCATTCACAGTGGTTGAACAAATCAAGGGATTTCAAGATAGATTTAAAGGGGATTTTGTTGCCTGTTAAGAGAACAGCTGCCTTGTGTTCTGTATCACCACTTGTTCTCGTTCTAGAAAGCCTTGTACTCCAAGCGAGCATAAGAACAGCCCTAAAGAATAATCAGTTATTCACCTGGCCCAACGTCCCCCCTCCACTGCTGGCCAGCCAAGGTGCCCAAGCAAATGGTTGCATACAGTGGGACTTCAACAGGCTATTTTTCCAGCCCCCAGCAGTTTATGACCCAGAAATTTCTTCAATATCTGCCATTTAATATCAGTACACCCCTCCGTTTCTGTTCCTGTGATCTGAAACCAGGCTCCTGATGCATTATCAAACTATTAGCCGTACTATATAATGTTTGTTTTTTCTCTCCTACCAGCACCTAATAAGTGTGAGTTAAACTGTATTCCCAAGGGAGAAAACTTCTACTACAGGCACAAGGAAGCAGTGGTAGATGGGACTACCTGTGAACCTGGCAAGCGGGACATCTGTGTAGAGGGAGCTTGTCAGGTTAATCATCTTGTTGCTTCCTTCTTTTACCATTGTGGCTGTCAGTCTTTCTGTTGCTTACTTTTGTTCTGCATGGCCTTTCATAACAGCAACAGAAAAGGAGAATCATGCTGTTTCCAAGGTGCTGAAGAGCATGTGGACAGCATTTATCTATCAGTCTCTGAACGTGAAATAGAAGGTGCCAGCTCTGTCCTTTCTCTGACAACTCCTTCCCTGCCCTATCGTGACTTCCCAGACCACCTAGATTCAGGCTTTCTCATTAGATCAGTCCAACATTTGGCCATTTCTTTCTTTACCCTGTTATTACAGTTTATTCATATCATTGCTCCTGTGCTCTGACAGGCTGTTGGCTGTGATAATATGCTGGAGTCTGCCAAGAAAGAGGACAAGTGCCTACAGTGTGGAGGAGATGGCAGCACCTGCTATGGTGTGAAAGGCACTTTTGATGTGCCCAGCCTTCCCAAAGGTACAAATGATCTAGGTAGTTTGGGCAGGTGAGAAAGGGAGAGTTAAACCTAAACTCAAGCTCCTGCAAGGGCTGGTGGAGACAGCTACTCACATGATTGTTATAGGCAGGCTTGGATGTTCACTTGAGATGTCTGTATGGCATGTGTATGGCTCTTTAGCTGCTTTAGCATCACAAAATTTATTGTATTGATGGCCTTATCCTGGGAATTGCACCCTTTGTTGTCTCAGTACAGACAGATGTACTTGCTGTGCTGCTGGTGTCTTTCTCTGCTCAGTCTCCAGCAGGTACTGTAAATGTACTGTATGAATATAGTTATATACTTCCTTCATAAGACTGTCCCACTGTCCAGTGTCTTGACAGCCCCACCAGGCTTGGTGCCAGGCTAGAAATGGGACTGTCTCTTCTGCATTTGGCCAATGTTGAGTCAGTTCAAGATAACAGCTACACTTGTGGTCAAATCTCTCTGTGTTGTGCTCTGATATGATACTTGCTGAAATGCCAAAGATTTTAAAATCTACTAAATGGACGTTGCACTGATCCCTGTGCTTACTCTTCTGAGGTGCAGTTGGAACTTTTTACACATGGACTGACCTGTGGATAGTATTGGGTGAAGCTATTCAGAATGCATGTAAAGTGCCGATTGAAATGCTTCAAGTCACCATCAAGAAGCTCATCCAGTTGTTCAGGCACCAACAAAACAAAGGAGCATCTTTGGCACAGAAGAGTGACTGTGTGGCATCCACGGACTGATATTGAATAATCCCCTTCTTTTTTTTTTTTTGAGGGTACAATCCAATCTTCAGGAATTTTCTGGGTAAGACTGATGGTAGAACCTGTGTTTCAGTCCACTTAGCTTCCAGCCACTGCGTTAAAATTTGGCTTTCAGGTATATTGGGCTTTGGGATGTTTATCTTGAGGGCTTGATATGACAGAGGGAAAAACTCTCTGAAAAGCAGGATCTGAATATTGAGTATCCTTGAAGTGTTAGTGATGCTCAACTCAACTTTCAGGTTTACCTCATTTTCTCCTCTATGGTGATCTTGCTGTTGGGTGGGGAATAAAAAGGCCCGAACCACGTTCAGACTTCTTGCCTGGATTTACATGGAGTCTAGCTGAGGTAGCAAAATTTGGCCATGAGTTCTGTTGCTTGCTTGGTGGATGTAAGCCCTAACTCCTTCTGTCACCTGAAAGTCTGGGATGGGCTTCTTTTCCCCATAGATAACTTTTGGGTATTTGTCTGTACAACCTCAAACTCTGGTCATGCTGCAGAGGTCAAAAGGGAGGAGTAAATGTCCTCACCTAGCCTTCTGGGCAGGGCTGAGGGAATTCCAGTGGAGAAAACAAATACTTTTCTGCTTTCTGACTCTTCCATTGCCCAATGCTTTGGATGAATCAGTCTGGTGGTTTTCCTTTGTAGAAAAGAGGATGCAGCACCAAAGTCTTTGTCTTCTGCTGAACAGGATAGTGGTGTTGAGGCAGTGGGGTGCAAATCCCACGTCTTAACGACAAGAGGGACATAGGCTGACAGAGGCTGTGCCTCAGTGACTAACAGTGGGGAATGCAGAGACAGGGGTGGAATACTGGAGGAGTTTGGTTATGCAGCAAAAACGTGCTTGGTCTGCCGCAAAGCTGGCAAGAACCACTGTCTGAATGTGGAGCAGCCTCTGGCAAGAGAGCATTACAGAGGGGACAGCACTGTTGAAGGATGATGGTCACATTTTTTTTTGCCACACATGTGACAGTTTTGAGTGGAAACAGGAGCATCCCTGTTGAGTTCTTACAGTCCTCTTCTGATGTGTGAATTTATGCTGTGTTGGTAGATGCTGCCATATTAGACTGTTGCAACACTTAAGGGGTTGCAATACTGATGTGAAGGAGCTGGGGTTGAAAATGGCGGAGCTGAGAGCTCTGTGGATTGCCAGTATCCTGAAAGTCTAGAGCAGGCCCTTTCTGGTGGTATCTGGAGGTGTCAGGTTATAGGTGTGTTAATTTACTGCTCTTTCTTCTCTGGCGCGTGGGTTTGTCCAGCTGTCAAGAACGTGCGAGGGGAGTACTATCTGAACGGGCACTGGACAATTGACTTCAGCCGAGCACTGCACGTAGCTAGCACGGTTATGCACTACGACCGCGGCTCGGAGGGGGATCTGGCTCCAGAGATCCTCCACGCCCGGGGCCCCACCACAGAGCCCCTTGTCATTGAGGTAAGCAGCTGTGCCTGCTCCCCGCTGATGTTCTCGCTCCCTCGCTTTGTGCAGCAGCGCTTGCTTTGTGCAGTGGGAATGCATTGGTCGGGACTGCGTGGGGAAGACTGGAGAAGTGATGGGACTCCTGGGGGACTCTGGCTCTGTTGCCCAGTAAGGAGCAGGGCAAGGCTTGATGTTGGCTTCCTGCCTGTTCTCTTGGGCACTGACTTTAAGGGAGACAAGAGTCAGCACCAAATGGGGTTGGGGCGAGGACGGGCTCTAGGGCACTGCTTGTTATAGTGGACAACGGTGCATACTGTTACAGGAGCAGCTGGATCTTCTGTCTCTGAGAGGGATGAATGCACCCTTCTCTGAAAAATAGTAGTAGCATAGAAAGTGAGGAGAAAATGCAGCTTAGGCAATAAATGCTTCTTGAACACGAGGGAAGCAGGTCATCTTGAACTCCCAGACATAGTGGGAAAATGCTGCAAAGTGGAAAAGTGCTGCAGTTGTTATTTCCCTGACTTAATCCCATGCTTTCACAGCTCATCAGCCAGGAGCCAAACCCAGGGGTACAGTATGAGTACTACCTGCCAGTGCAAGGCCAGGCCTCGGGTTACAGCTGGAGCTACGGTTCCTGGAGCGAGTGCAGTTCCGAATGTGGAGGAGGTGAGGGGACAGGACCTGGTCTCTGGGCTGGTGTGGGGTTTATTCCGCACCCTGAAGACCGTGTGACTGTGTGTTGCCCTCTACAGCTGCTCCCCAGCAGTCTCCTGCTGGAGGACAGCACAGGTATCTGCAGGGGACAGCTAAGGTTTTGTCAAGGGAGGGTCATGAATGGGGTCACGACAGAACTGTGTCCCATTCCTTGTCCTGTCTTATTTTCTGTGCCCTACACCTCAGACTTGTTAATAGATCCATTAAGGCTCTTCACAGGTAGACTTTGTTTTATTTAATTCTGCTTCAGTTCTTTATGGCCTTTTCAGGCCTTTTCAACCACTTGAGAGGTCCTCTCCAAGCGCTGACCTGGCCTACATAGCTCAATCATGTCATTGGCCTCTACCATAGCCTGGAAGATTCCCTCTCTGCAGGGACACTGTCAGATATCCTAGGGTGTCACATCAAGTTCAGTTTACAAATTCTTCCATGAGCAAAGTTATGGTTTTTAAGCTAAAAAAAGCCAACACAAACCCAACAAAAACCCCCTAGCAAATGAAAAAACCCTCCAGCTGAAAGTATGTAAAGTTTCCATCAGCCTCTTCTAGTCTTCTGTGCTGATGGCCGTTTCAATAGCTTTTGCCATATTGTGGTTGTAGGAGCTGGTATTGTCTTTGCTCAGCACTCTTATCCTGTAGGAGGCATGAAGAGTTGCAAGTTTTTTCTCCAGTGTCCAGTCTTCCCAGGACTGACCTTCTGACTCTAGAAGGACACCCCCAGCTCTGCTGCTGTATACTGCCCATACCATGCAGAGTTCTTTGATGACCAATATACAGATATGGCTCTTTCCTTGTGAGTCACAGTCCACTCCAATAACAGGAAGATGCTCCTCAACTACACGTAACTATTCTATCTCTCTTGTCCTTTCAGTGGACTTATACTGGGGGGAGGCATCATTCGTACATATAGTGACAGACCAAGAAACACACCTGACTTTTCCAGCTTGGCTGGGACAGGTGTGGGTTCTGTATGGCTTTAGAAACTTGTCTTGCTAACACCAGTGCATTTCAAACTTAGTCCTGGGTGGATAGCATTGACCAAAATACTCTCTTGTCCTTTAGGTTTCCAGTCCCGCTTGGTGTTTTGTACCATAGACAATGAAATTTATCCAGACTACATGTGCAGGAATAAACCACAACCAGACAATAACCGGACATGTGGCCATCAGACTTGTCCCCAGACGAAACGGTAAGATTTCCTTTTGTCTTCTGGACTCTGACTTCTTCCTTAGATGCCTTTGGAGCCAGGAAATATAATTACCTTCTTACTACTCCTTCCCACCAGCATGGTACTCTCCAAAGAAAGGTTTCACTTCTTAGAGAAAGGCCAAGACAAAGGATGGTGATGATAACACTGTAATGAGCATTTCTGTGTATACAAGGCTTGATATGTCCTACGTTCATTTTATAGACCAATTAAATTTGCTTTCCAGCACGTGATTGTGGAAGATAGTCTTCTAGCCCATGTAGGACACAGGAAACTGATTCTTTGGGTTTTGTTCTCTTCAACTGGAGCTGGCAAACATTGAGGAGTAGGTCAGAGCCAGTGTCATTTTGTGTCATTTCTGTGTTCCCAGTGTCCTTGCTCTTAGAAGGGGCTGAATCCTGGGATCTTTTTGTTCTCCAGCATTTTCAAACCCCTTTATCCAGCTATTTGTGCCCTGTACCTTGCTGACATAGCCTTGCAGTTGGCTTTACTTGGCTCTTATGTGGGCATTCAGAGCTGTAACCAGAGCCTTAACTGTATATCTCACTGTGTATCTGGTGGGTGCAGTGGAAGCCTGTGAAAGTGCTGCTGTGGGTGAGACGGCACTTGGAAACCCGGGCGTGTTTTTGAATACATGGTAGCACTTAGCTATTTGCTTTAAGTTCTTTAAATCCTTTGTTTTGTGCATAAAGGACTTCTTACGTCTATCTGCCACAAGCGTGGAGCCACAGTGGAGCACGGAGCTCTCGGATGAAGAGGTAACAAGGAGAAGGAGGTTACAGAAAGCACAGGAAGGCAGTTGCTCTCTTCTGCTCTCCACATAGTTGCCCACTGAAGTCTGTGGTGATGAGTGGTCTTTCCTCTTTGGCACTGGTGGTAGCAGTGGATGGTGCTTTGCTTTTGATTCTTGCAAGTGAAAATGATGGTGGAGGTTGCTAACTGGCAGTTTTGCTTAGGTGGTTGTGCATGCTCCTGGTAACTTGGCTCTTACAGGACTGAGAATGGGAGCTTTTGGCTGCTTATCCTGATAATTGTTTTTTTCTCTGGAATCAGGGTACAGAGGTGAAGGGATGTTCTAGAAAATTTTTGTTTCACTTATCAATATAAATAAAAGACCAAAAAGGAAAAGAGAGCATGATGGATTGGGAGATTGAAACATTGGCCAGGATCCCATAATGCCATAGCAAAAGCTTCAAAGTTCCTCAGAAGCACTTCTTTCTTTGGCATGGGCCCTACAGCAGGCAGAAAAATGTCTAAATACTGTGATGAGCATGAGGATGTGACAGATGCAATACTTACAATGTACACGGAAGCAGGAGAAGTAAAAAAGATCAAAACCAAAACAGTTGTCCTTCAGCAAACTGCTAATAGCTTAGGCTATGCAATGCTTTGTCCTCTGATGAGGGTCCCAGCCTTATGGCTGACCTTGTCTTACAAAGGAAATGAAACAAGTGTCAGACAAGATGTCTTCACTCACAATTGAAGGAAGCCGTAGGTGAGCCCACCCAGTTGATACAGCCTTTCTAAAACTGTATATTTGCTTTACAGTAGGCAGAACACAGTTCTGAGGTTTTTTTTATCCCCAGTGGAGCTTCTGAAAAACCCTGATCAATTAATTTTTGAGCCCTGCAACCACATTGCTCTAAGTGGTTTCTACTTGCTGTAGTTGTTCCCTTTCCAAAGGGAACATCTGATTTTATAGCAAAGGCCATTCAGTTTTGGGTTGATATGTGCACCTTTAACAGTAAAGAAGGGTATCTTAAGGAGATGAACATGTCTTCTCTCGGCTGAGTCTGCTGTGGAGTTTCTGGTAGAGTGTGAGTGTCAGTTGGCTGGCTGAAACTCAGCTTAGGGTTGGTGAGGGCAGACCAAGGAAGCAGCTGGAAGGCTAAGGGAGAAAACGTGAACTGCCTTCGTGTCCTGGCTGAGGCTTACCTGACGGCAAGAGGAGGTAGCAGCTGGCAAGCAGATCACCGTGATGCTCCCCCTGCACCAGCAGTGCCTTTAGGCTGCACAGCATGCTGGAATGAAGCATCGTGTTGTCACTGAAGCCAGGCCATGTAAGTTGTGCTCTCAGCTGCCTGGGCAGCTCTGAGACACAGGAGTGGACAAGGGCAAGCTGTTTAGCATCCAAACAGTCAGATTGTTTTGTGGACATTCCCCCTTCCATTAGCAAGGGTGTATAATTTCTGACACAGCTTCAGCAACCAAACACAAGACAAAATCTTTTTAAAGTTTTGGGGTTTTTTTTTTGTGTGTGCTGCTGTTAGAGAATTTGGCTGATGAGAGGAATAAACCAGCTTTCTACAGGCTGTCATTGGAAAGTTCACAAGCACTTCTGAGAGTGTCTGGCATGGTTTGCAGGCAGAGTGAGGTCTTGGCTTGGCTGTACTGATTCTGATAATGGCTGGAGTGTAATGGGTCGTTAGGTTGGTGCGGGTTGCTTTGCTTTTAGCTGATCTGGATTGTTTTCTTCTTTTTTTTTTTTCTATTTTGATGTTTCATTCCAGGCATGACACTTTTGCAAACGTCAGGAGACCAAAAGCTGTAGAGAGAAATCTTCTGCCTCTGGGAGAGCTCTGCACTTCCAGAGAAACAAGTGTTTTGTAGTTGGGTATTTGTCTCTGGAGTGGGACTCATGTTCTGCATTGCCAATTAAACTGGGCAGCTCTTGGTCAAATGGGAACTCACCTCTTGCTCTGTTCTGCAAAGGGACATTTTCCCTGTCTGGTTACAGCACTGGCCTCCCCTGTGCTTCGGGCCAGTTTAGCTGGGCTGACAGCTGTTTGCCTGATTCTGTGACCTGCAGGTGGAAAACAGGGGAGTGGGGATCCTGTTCAGCTACCTGTGGTGGGGGCACACAGACTCGCTCCGTTTACTGTGTGGCATTCGACGGTCAGAGCTCCCAAGGGGTGGTGGATGACGCTGAGTGCATGGCCTTCGCACAGCAGCCTCGCAGCAGTCAGCCCTGCAACATGAGACAGTGTGCGACCTGGAGCACAGGGCCCTGGTCCGAGGTGAGTTTGTGCATGGGAGACAACTGCCTCTTGGCACATACTGAAGGAGGATCTGCCAAAGCGTGGGGATGAAGAGCCAGGCTCCTTTTCTGGGACTGTAAAAGGTGTGTGTCCCTGTAATAGGTGGTATTTGGAGGACTGCAGGGACACGTCCTACACCTCCGCACAAGTTCTCCAGCTAGCTGGCAGCTAGGCACTCCTATAAAAACATTTCTCTTCCTCAAAACTGTGCGTCCCCCTGCACCTCTGCTTCTCTCATTGCATGTTGTCTCTTCTTTGGTCTTCTCCCAGTCCTTTCCCCACTCCTGTATTTTTATGAGATCCACCAGACCTGGCACTGGCTGCATTTCTGAGTCAGGCCTGGTGAGAGTGGAAGGTGGACGTGAGAGCTGCGGTCCGTCAGCTGATGATGTGCAGCAACGCTCCGTCCTCTGTAAACCAGGAGCTCACGGCTCCTGCCTGTGCTGTTTATTTCCATGCATTGTTGCTGCCTCAGCATTAGTAGCCCTGGACAGTAGTACTAAAATCACACCAGTCACTAAGCAAGATACTCTTGAAACACTGGTGACCTGCTGTTTGCTGTGTGTCAGCGCAGGGCTTCTCCAAACACAGCTGCGTGGTACGTTTGTGATGCCTGTGTGCGTTTGTATCTCTAGGAGAGGAAAATGTTCGAGTATGTGCTCAGTGCTGCCAGCCAGACAGTTAGAAGGCATCTTGCATTCCAAGGTCTTAGAAAGTAAAGATAGTGTCTACTCAGTCCCTAAAGCACAAGTGATTTTTCCTGTTTTAAAAGAATTACATGCATGCTTGCAACATTTGACTTACGATCTTGTGGTGGTACTTCGAGTGGTGCAGTAGCATAAAATGCAACTTTGAGGCATGATAACCTAGACTGTGAAGTTTTGGTTTTTTTTTTTTTCTTCTTCTTGTGCAATGTGAGGTGTGAATACTGAGATGACTTCAGTATTGCAGAGTAAGAGTACTATTTGGGGAAGGCACCGAGTCTCTTGTTCTTACAAACTGATTCCTAAGTCATTCATTCTGGGGTTCTCAAAAGCAACTGTATTTCATGTACTTTCAGAGATAAAAGGTCACTCCAGTAAATGAGGGGCTGAAACTCAGCTGGGAAGCTCATGTAAAGTAATTTAGACTGTCCCCAAGTTAATGCTTTCTGTAAGAGAGCTTGGTAATTCATGGAGAAGTAGGCTGAGTTCCAGGAAACACCACTGTGAATTTAATAGGGCATTGAAAATGTCACAAACCAGTTATTAGTATAGAAGTCTTGCTAGTATGGATGTGTTGGAGCGGGTCCAGAGGAGGGCCACAAAGATGATCAGAGGGCTGGAGTACCTTTCCTACGAGAACAGGCTGAGACAGTTGGGGCTGTTCAGTCTGGAGAAGAGAAGGCTCTGGGGTGACCTTATAGCAGCCTTCCAGTACCTGGAGGGGCCTAGAGGAAGGATGGAGAGGGACTTTTCACAAGGGTGTGTAGTGATAGGACAAGGAGGAATGGCTTTAAACTAAAAGAGGGCAGATTTAGATCAGATATTAGGAAGAAATTCTTCACCATGATGGTGGTGAAACACTGGCACAGGTTGCTCAGAGAAGCTGTGGCTGCCCCCTCCCTGGAAGTGTTCAAGGCCAGGTTGGATGGAGCTCTGAGCAACCTGGTCTAGTGGAAGATGTCCCTGCTCATGGCAGAGGGATTGGAACTAGATGATCTTTAAGGTCCCTTCCAACCCAAACCATTCTATGATTCTAAGTTGTGTCACAGCTCCACACTGTAAAAATGGAGCACAAAGTCTTCAGGCAGAAGACATGAGCAATACAAGACCCTAATCTTTTTATCTTCCCTTGAATTCTTTACCTTGAGCTGATTTTAATCAGGAGTAAATAACATGAGGTTCCAGGTATTTCCTGCCATTTACTGTTCTCAATGTATTCTGCAGTACTGGTATTTTTCCAAAATCATTCTCCATGTCTTCTTTGGTAGACATCAAGTGAGATGATATGACTAGGCCAAAATCACCCAGTGAGCTCCAGATATCCCAGGCCATATCCACCATGCCTTATTGTCTCTAATACAGCATAAATAACTACTCTGATAACTCCCATCCCAGAAGATTATTTTAATCATGGTTGGTTGTTCTAGGCAATCTCAAAATTGTGCTCTGCCCTAACATTAGGGAGCACAGCCTGGAAATGCGAGTGGAAACTGAGTGCTTCCTTGTAACTGTTGGGCTGCTTTCTGCAGTGCTCAGCCAACTGTGGGGAAGGGGTCCAGACCCGGACCGTCACCTGCAGAACACAGCAGGGCTCTCGGGCTCAGGACTTCGCTTGTCTAATGGAGTCAAAGCCATCGGCCACCCAGCCCTGCCTGAAGGAGAACTGCATCCAAGAAATAGGCTGGCACGTTGGAGACTGGGGCCTGGTGAGCATCACACTTTCATGGTTCAGAAATAACTGATTATATTGCTGTGCTCCTCGCAAACAAGCTTTGATCCATGCAGTCTGCACGTTGGCTGGGGCTGGGAGCATGTACTGCTTCATTACCAGTCCCTTGCCTCACAGTTGCATTGTAACTGGTGCTAGTAATGCTTCAGTTAATCTGCTGCCTGCTTTGTATGCAGCCACTACAAAAATAAATCCTTGTGAGGGAGGGATTACAGTTTCAGTGACAGTGGCAAAATGCAGCCAATAAGCTGAAACAGCCCACTCGTGCTGCTATTCCCAAGTCTTCGCCCCATCGCTGTGAATAGCAGAACAGCTCTCTGGCTGAGCATGGCTTAGAGCTCCAGGCTTCAGGACTGGTCATTGCATTTGGTGATATGGTTTAAAGTACATTTTTGTAATCATTCAGATAAACTGTGCTTCAGCTGGATGAGTCATGTCTTTGTGGAGGGAGCCAGACTGTGTTCAACCTGGGAAAAGTGCCAGGGGCAGGAAATAGTGGTAGATGCAATGGATCAGGTGACTTCCAAACACACTTTTTCCCTTCTGTGCTAGCCGGACTAGCTTGTTATGAGATAAAACATGTTACATCTGGTTCTTCACAAGATGTGGGCCAAGTTTTAATAACAGCTAAAGAAGCTGCTTACCTTAATCTGATCTTTCCTGGCCCCTGGCTTTCCAATGTCAGAAGGCCTCCTACCTGCATCTGAATAAGAGAGAGAAATACTCTCCCAATGATTCTAGAGCTTGCCATGAGCAAGTGGGTTACACAGACACCTCATCCTCTCCCCTCCCCTGAGCTGCTGCTCATTGCTCACCCTTCATCCACAGCTTCCAGTGAGAGGAATTCCAGTTAGCTTCTTACAAGAAAGCGACTAGTTTCCTTTCCTGTTGTAAACTGTGATTCTTGAATGCATAGTTCGAGACTGACCCTCTCACAGCTGCTGGGTCCCTGTAGTGTTGATCTGCCTTCAGGCCAGGCTGAAACAACTCACTCCAGCTCTCTGCCACGCCTCTGTGGGTAACAGCAGCTCATCTGGACATCACAGGCTGAGCATGGCATAGAGCCTAATGCTTCAGGGCTGGGTGCAACATTTCGTAAAATGGCTTAAAGTATGGTTTTCTAATTGTTCATATGAATGCAGCTGAAGTATTGTTTGCTTTGTCTTGGTGGAGGAAGCTGTGCTCAGCCTGCGGCTAATAATGCAGCTGTTTCAAACTTCTGGTCTGTGGGGTTTCTGCGTTCAGCCTCTGCTGCCTGCTCACTTGCCTTGTCTCTGTGCCCAAGTGTTCGAAGAGCTGCAGTTCAGGCATCCGGACACGCCAAGTCGTCTGCGCAGACAGCGACTCCAAATTCTACAGTCCTGAGACATGCAAAGCCATCCAGCCACAGAAACCAGCCACCCTGGGTAGCTGCAACATGCAGCCCTGCTACCTGCCACAGCGTGAGTGGTGTTGCCGCACACCTAGCTTTTCCTAAAATGCTTTGGTTTAGGAGTAGAAATTCCCAGCTCTACACCAGCTGGGTGTTCTCTGTCCCAGGTTGTGTTCTCAGCTTCTTGCCTGCCTGTCTCCACAGCATCTTCAGAGTCCCAGTACCTGTGCTGTTCGAATGTATGGAACAGGCTTGGGAGCAACATTGGTGTATGTCCATTTTGAATGCAGTATTCTGTGATGGCTCTGTCCCAGTGTGTGCTGCAGACTGACCCCAGGACTGCCAGTCAAGGATAGCAAACTGGCCAGGCTCAGTAGCTAAAAACTATAGCCAACTTTCATCCCTCTGTGGACCAGCTATAAAGGAGGCACAACTGCTCAGAAGATTTTGCTTTCTGTCTGTGTCTAGTCTGCACACCAGAGCTGAAATGCTGACTTTTGTCTGCCTGCCCATCACAGGTCGCTGTCCTGACAATCCAGTTGAGTCCAATTGCTGCTCAGCTGTTGTTCCAGGAGAAGAGAAACATTTTCATCAACTTTAGTCTCCCTGTTGGCTCCTGGATGCATTTGCAATTATTAGAACACAGGGCTGGACTAACTGCACTTATTTTGTGTATATGTCTCTTTGCAGAGGTCCCCAGTATGCAGGACACTATGGGATATGATGTCACTCGCCAGTCCTTGCTGACACGTTACAACCCAAACAGCCCTGCCACAGGTTTGGAAGAATTTTGTTAGTCTGAGTTTTTGGTAATGGTGGACTTGAAACGGGGTGTGGTAAGGGAAAGGTTCCTCCTTTTCTTCATTTCTCTTGTTCATTTCATGGGCATCTAGAAATCTGTGGAGCCAGAGACGAAGTGTAGATGCTTTTACGTGATAGCGAGCAGTGTCTGAATCTGTCCATGCAGAAGAGACTGTACAGTATATAGATCTCGGGCTCTGGCAGCATGATGTAAGTGCTGGCTGAGAGGAATGCTGCCCAAAGCAGATTGTAGGAAGAAGAAAGGATCATGTGAGGGGACCGCAGTAATGTGGCAGGTGGTTTCTCATGGGACAACAGGAAGAATGATCAGGGAAGCAAGCAAAAGAACCTCAGGACAACCAAATCCGGAAGAGCAGGCCAGAATACACATTCAGGTGAAATCCTGGTACGGAAAAGTCTGCCCTGTATCTTTGGGCAGGTGCAAGAGAGCAGAGATGAGCAAAACTGATCAGATTTTGATGCTCACCTGCATGCTTTAAGGAATTCTTTCCCCAGATTCTGGTGATGAAAGGATGATCCCTGGGAGCTCGATGATCCATACTACCTCTGGGAATCACCACACCTCACCCAGCAAGGACCGTGGCATCAACTTGTTGCCTGTTCGCTGGGAATCCCAGTCACGCTCATTGGGTTCCCATCAGCTCAGCTTCTCTCAGGACCCCACCGCAGGGACTGGCTCTCGAGACTGCCACCGGAGCCCATATGGCTGCTGTCCAGATGGGCACACTCCAGCTTCAGGCCCTCTGGAGAGAGGTTGCCCCTTCAGCAGTTGTCACCGAAACAGGTAGCTGGAAGTAGATGGGCCTGAACAGGGAGGCATTGCCTTTCCTGGGGGCTTACTGAAATTTACAGCCTCTGCCTGTTGAGCCGGGCAGGTCAGGTATTGCTGCAGCCCTTCTGCCTGTAGGTATGGATGTTGTCCTGATGGAGTATCGTCTGCCCAGGGTCCAAACAACATGGGATGCCCACAACATTATCACGACATTCAAGTGAGCAGAAATCAGCCCACTGCAGCTGCTCCAACAGTAAGTACGAAAACCCTTTGCGTTTTAGCTGTCCATCAGATAAGAAGATTTAGATTTGACCCCAGTGACTCAGATTATGGGTTTCTGTTCTGCTTCATCTCTGCCAGTAGCACTGGAGACCAGTACTCCATGCATGGCATCAAGTCATTTGGCACACTACGTTCCTGTTCAGTCTGGGGCATCCACCTGTGATCCTCTGTAAGCAGGGGACAGAGCGGGTGGTTGAGAGATGTCTGAGAAGTAGAAGACCATCCTATGTAGAACTGGTTGAATAATCCCGCGTAACTAAATTTCTGTGCGTCAGAAATGTGCCATCCAGTTTCTAGGAGAAATAACGGGAAAAACATGGCTACTGTTCATTGCCTTTGTTTGACAGCTCTGCCGATTAACTGAGGGCAAAATAGTCAGGGAGGTAATTCCTTTTATAGCTTGGGGTGCCTGGTGGGGCCAGCTGAAAAAAGTGGCCTGCTGCTGGGCTGGTTAGGTCTGTCCTGCAGAGAAGTGCAGCCCTGGATCCATGGCTGACAGCCAAGTTTCCCACCTGTTCCCAGCACGAAAGCCTCTAGGAGGCAAACAAATAATGGTTCCTCTAACAGCTGGCCTGCTGCAGCTGACAGCTTGGACACGGTGCTTTGCACGTGCTACTGTCCTCATGTAAGCGTGGTAACTTTTTGGCTTTCAATTCCTGTCTCTAAGGCAAACCAAGCCTTGTCCCAGCAGCACCCGTCGGGCAAGTGCCGCAGTTCTGTGTATGGCTGCTGTTTTGACAATGTCGCTTCAGCTTCAGGACCTCAAGGGGAAGGATGTCTCAATAGGCCCAACTACCGTAAGTGATGCTTTGTTGTCTTGGTTTAGAAACGTAGGAACAGTCGTATAGAATCCAGTAGCATATGGAAGCTTCCTGTGTAGAGGCTCTCCTCTCTGTAAAATGCAATAAATTTTCTCTTTGGAAAAGAAATTCTGCCTGGTGGCTGGGGCAGGGGAAGCTTGGAGGGAGTGTAGAAAAGCAGCCAGATGGTTCAGTTTTGTCAGCTACCGCAGATATTCTTGTTGTTCTCTGCTGATAGTTGAACAGAAGGGTTTTTGTATGATCTCTGTCAGTCTGTAGGACTTCTGGGGAGCTGTTTGCCCCTGAGAAGACACCCTGAGGCAGCCTGGAGTGCTTCAAATTAGTTATCTGGTTTTAAGAGAAGCAGGGCCTCTCTGAGGAATTAGGGCTGTGCTCAGCCTTCAGACAGCCCATGGACTGGGGTGGAATGAGAGCTACAACTAAGGATGGAGGTGTTGCTCAGGGCTGCATGGATGCTTTCAGCCAGCAGAGTTCAATACAGTGCCTGCTGTACTATAAGGTAAGAGCTGCTGGGCAAAATCATCTCTGCTCCTTTAGTCCCCAGCTGTATCCTCTGCAGGCACGCGGCTGCTCCATCGCCTTGCCCTTTTGCCGCAGCACAGAGGTTGCTTTGTGGCCCTGTGGGGCTGCCCTGGGGAAAGAGAAATGTCTCTGGATCCCCTCTGCTCAACCACAGCTTGGCAAAGGACCCCTCAATCAGAGCCCTGCACCCAGTGTTTGTCAGCATGTGGCTGTGATACCTGTGACTCAGAGCACAGGACTCAGTTTGTAGGCTTACAGAGACACTGGGCTGTGCTCCTCTTTATATCAATGTGTGGAGGGGTGTTCGGTAACACATGTGGCTTCACAACTGGGTCTAATCCACTTGCTTTGTCGGCTGGAAAGATGCAAAAGGCAACCACGTGCCCTTTGCAGGAGAGGAAGCCCCAGAGCCAACCTTGCAGCTGCACAGTTCCCGGAGAAAGGCTGTAAAGCATCTGTCTAGTATCTAGATTCAGAATTGACTCAGGTTGGTTCTTCTTCCACCAGTGGTAAAACTGGGGCAGGAAGAAACGTGAGCAGCTGCCCAATTTCAAAGCAGAGCTGGGTGCAAAACTTAAGTGTCCTACTCTCCCACCTGCCCTCTGCCCACAAGGCCCATCAGATCATCTAGGTAGGTGGCTTGAAGTGCCCAGACCTTTGTGCTTTGTGACCCTCACATTTCTGCCTGTTCTGCTCTTTTTGGTAGCGTATCCTGTCATATGCCTGCTGCCCAGTGCCCACGGCCCCTGCGCGAACTGGACCACTCGCTGGTACTTTGTGGCTGTCGTTGGCAAGTGCAACCGATTTTGGTACGGCGGCTGCCAAGGCAATAAAAACAGCTTTGCCTCGGAGGAGGAGTGCATGAGAGCATGCCACAAGTCTGTGGGCGTCAGCCCTCCGGAGCACCAGTCCTCTTCTGGCACAGGAGCCCTGCAACGCCAGCACACTGGCTCCCGCTCTCATACAGGGGATGCTGGGGATCAGCAGCAGCCGTCCCTGAGAGAGTCTGCAAGTCGCAGCCAAGAAGGAAGAGCCTACGGGGCTTCACGCCCCATGCAAGACAGCCACAGACAGGACAGCTGGAGAAGTGAGGTACTGCCAGGGTCTCTGCTGAGGACTGGTATGCTGGAGAGCCAGCGCTGGGGCACCCAGCAAAGCAGACTGGACAGCCTGAGCCAGCCGCACTTGTGGGAATCAGCGGTGCCTGGGCCCTCAGAGAGGCAGAGGGGCAGAGGCCAGGAGGGGCTGCCCCATGAAGGCAAGCAGTGGCATAAGGCTTTCGGAGCAGACGTTTCCGTGACAGAGGGATTGGGGCATCAGGCGCCTGCAGACCCATCCTCAGCACAGGCCCTGCACAGGTAGATGATGTTTTTAATTTTCTTTTTTCCCTTGTTCTGTCAGCTCATTGTGAAGCATCAGTGCAGCTTCCTCTGGAGTGAAATTGTTGCCCCAGCTGGGACCAGCTAACTGGGAATACCATGTGATGGACTGGCTATACATGTAGCCCTTTGGTAAATCAAGTTATTCAGGACTTGGAGTTCTCTGCTGTCTCTCTCCTTGCACTCTCCCCGCTCTCTGACAGCACTGGAAGTATGGTGTGCGAAAAGACTGCAGGACCCTGGGGTCTTGGTCTGGGAGGTGTTCTTACACTGTAAACGAGAATCCATAGGTGTTTTCCTTGTTCTGACCGACAAATTTAGCTGACTCTGACTTCAGAGCTTTATCTCAGCACTATATGGAGCAGCAGTGAGTTGTTCTAGGGGAGACTTTTAAGATGCAGATTTTGGGTCAGGATCCAGACAGTGTCTCCCTGAAAACCAGGAGAGCGTAGAGCTAGATCTAAATGTGTCTGCACTGGATCCATGTCTGTCTGATGGGCTGAACCTAGTTCCTTCAGAAGAGAGGGGTTGTAGGACTCTGTGTCTTCCTGGAGATATTGTAGTATTCAGTCTGTCCAGAGAAGCCTTTGCCATGTAGGAGAGGGCTCCCTACGTGTTCACTGGTGCATCTGCTCAGTTGTGACTCATCCAGAGCCACATTAGAGGACCCAGAGGAGAGGAGGGCACCACAGGTGCCAATGGAATTGCTTTCTCTTTCAGAGCCATTTTGGAGGAAGCCAAGCCCTCTCTTGTGACAGCAGTTGTGGGACAAAACATCCAGCTGGTCTGCAAGACAGGCACGTCTCCCTTCTTCAGAGTGGAGTGGGCCAAGGACGGCCGACCGGTCTCCTCTGACAGGTGAGCTCAGCTCTCTTTGTTATAGAGCAGATGGGCTTCTTGCTAGGCAGAGTGCCAAAAATACTCACCCACTTTCTTTGTAATCTTACTGCTAACATTATTTAAAGAAAACAAACCAAAAAAACCAAACCAACCAAGCCCATGTATTGACCGAAGAGCATGAACTGTCCCCCTGGTCTGTGCACAGCAGCAGCAGATACAGTCTGCGATAGCACTGCGGCGTCGGCTAGTGTTATGGGGCAGAACAGGGGATGTCCCATAGCAAGGCACTGGTGGAAGCTGACATGTGGGTAGTGATACAGAAAAATGCTGTCGTTGTTGGATTTATCTTGGGGCAGCATGAAGTCAGTAGTCCAGGGTGAAGCTTGTAGCCAAATAACTGAGGGTTCCTCTGGCTGGAAGTTTCAAGCACTCCCATCTAAGATATAATTCTTTTAAAAACTAATTTCAAAGCCTGTTTTTCCTGAGAAGCCTTTTTCCAGCAACAATTTGGAGCCAGACAGTCACTTTGTGTTATGAAAGTCACAGTTAAGAAAAGCCCAGTTCTGCTTTTCTGTTTGCAGACGACTGCTGGGGCTCAAGCTCCTGCCTGGAAGGGCAGTTTGCCTCCTCATGGGAGAGGGTTGCTGAAAGCAGTTCCCTGTTTTCCCATTTCAGTTCCCTCTCTGTTCCTGACCTCCTTTCTGCCGCAGTTATTTCCCCTGCCTGCGACCCCTCTGTGGTCAACAGGGTTTTGTGTTTTTCTGGGCCGGGGAGGGCACTCTGTGATGGTGGTTTGCGTAACACCATCACGACGGGCCGCTCTGCCTTGGCCAGCCACTGTCCACGGCCAGGCAGTGGCACTTCGTCCTGGCTCCTGTTGCAGGCACACCTCCCAGTCCGACGGCTCCTTACTGATCAGCAATGCCAAGCCCGAGGACGCTGGGACTTACATGTGCCTCGGTTCTGACAGGAGGACAGAGAGCCGTCAGGTTCGGTTACAGATCACAGGTGACTTCTCTTCTGCTCTTCTACCAAAGAGGTATCTCAGGGCTGCTCGTTAATGGTTACTGATGACAGGAGCAATAAAGCCGGCTGCAGGATCAAGCTTCCTCCGCTGCCACACCATGCTAGCAGCGTTGCCTTTGCCCGGTGGCAGTGGTGTCCCCAGAGCTGGCCAAGGCAGTCTGTCTCCTCTGCTGTAGGGGTGCCACGAGGGAGTGTGGAGGCAGCAGGGCTGCTTCCGGTGTTGCCTCATGATAAAGCCTTAGCCCTAAAGCACCTCCTCCCTTGCAGTGCCACGCTGTAACCAGAGTTGTGGCTTGCCTGTAACCTGCTCCATTTCCAGCACAGCGAGCATGCCTTGCTCCCTGAGGGCCATCAGCTGCCTCCTGATCCCAGGAAGGAGGCTCCAGAAAGAGGGGTCTCCTGTAGTTCCCTGGGCCCTCCATCTCACACTGTAATGCGACCAGTCTGCCATAGCTGTCTCTGCTGGTGCTTTTATGTTTTGTGTTTTGCCCAGACAGGTCCTGCGGGGTAACAAACAATTCCCTGTTCTGAAAAACATGCCTTATCCAAGAAACAAAAACAAAAAAAAATATGAAAGACTAGTCCCAAAAGAGGGGCCAGCAAGGCACCCTGTAGCCTTCAATCTCTGAAGTGTACTTCGTCACAGCAATGGCACATGGGGCAGAAGGCATCGTGGCCTAAGGGGATGCTGCAACATGTTCACTGAGAGAGGAGAGAAAGGAGTCTAGAATTGCTTGCCTGCAGGTCTGTGACTCTCATTAGTAGACAGCGCAGGCTCACTGCACTAGTCAGCCAGAAAACAGATGGCTGAAGGGCTCTTTGGCTCCAGTTCAGCAAGCTCTCCCGAGCTCATAGAAACGCTACGCAAGAGGTCACAGTAAGAAGGGTCCTTTTATTCACATATGGCATTTTATTTTGAATAGAGTACCAGAGCGCTGTTCTGGCAGAGGGTGAGAGAGGTCGGGTCCTTCACAAGGAAAATCAGCAGCATCGAGAGCTATCCGGAGGCAGGAAGGCTGTGCAGGCAGCCGGTTCCTCTGTGCATCAGCAATTCACATACAGGTAGGTTCACGCACAGCAACAGTTTGTCCACCATGCCCAGCCGATGAACCATATGGCATCTCTTCATGTAGAAAAGCTGAGGGTTGGAAAGGTCCTGGGTCAGCTGTTCTGGGGCACGGTTGGGAAGCAAGCAGTACTGAACTGCTGACAACAGGAACGGGAGAAGATCCCAGCTGCAAGCTGCCTTCTGTCCTCCCTGAGGGTCTCTTAAAAGAAGCAGCATATTCTGAGCAAAGACATGCTTGGATGCAGACGGCAAAGGAGCTAGGTTCAAACGAAGGTAGAAATATCAGGGGCAGCATCCTTAGCTGTTCAAATTAGTGTAGGTTGAAAGAGAAACCTCTTCTGGAAAAAAGCAAAACAAATAGGATCTGCTTACCTAGCACAAAATAGATATATGCATATTAAAAAAAGCTCCGGTTACTTTAGCCCCCCACTCATTTATTGTAAATATTTTGTGAAAAAACCACTTTGACTCAAAACTCACTCTTCATGTACTGGGTGGCATATTTGTAGCTTCTTGCATGTTTCTTTGGTGCTTCTAGGCTCCACAGGAATAAAAAGGTACAAATTATTTTTTCCTTAAATGCACCATGTTGGGGCTCCAGATTAAATGGGACCATGATCTGATCCCTCCCTTCTTTTGAGTTTACAACCTAAAACCCAGCCAACTTGCTGAACTCGCCAGCAACCCCCTTAGCTGCTTCTGCCTAAAAGCAGAAAAAAGTGATTCATTGAATTAAGAGCACGGAATTAAGGCTCTTTGGTTTTGTTTTTTTGAGATCAAGAATTCAGGTCAGAGAATGGGGGTGGGGGAGATGATGTTTTATTTGACTCTGGAACTTCATGGTTTAGTTCCCTTCTAAAATGGTGTTTAGCTGTAGTATTAAGAGAGCAAAGAGCAAGAGGAGGTAAGCGGTGCGAAAGCCTGACCTCAGCCTTTCAGCTGCCTGAAGGGGATGGCCAGCTCCAGGGCCTTGCATGCAGCCAGGTGATCACAATGGGCTCTTCACACCCCAGAACATATCTGCTCATTTTTGTGTGCCAGACAAGAGCCTTGAGGGAAACTTCCAGGACTTTGTACCATTTGCCGCGTGCTCATGTTGTTAACGCTTCCTAGGCTGTTATCCAGAGGGATGCCATGAGAAACAGGGTTGCTGTCTCTAAAGGGTTAAACAGGCTGGCAGGAGTGCAGCACCAAGCTGTGCTGAACTGCAGCAGGATTTGGTGGAGGCTGCTCTTTTCTGGGTGTTGTGAGTGAATGTTGGTAATGGCAAGTATCAGAGCTCCGATGGGAGTGCAGAGACCACCCTTTCCTGTTGAAGGCAACAAATAAGGCTTGTGATTAGAAAAGCTTTGTGCTGAAGGTCAAATGCTGAATGAGGAAGTTGCTGCAATTTTTGCTGTGCTTGTGGACTTTGCAGGTTGAGAATGGATAAGAGCGAGCCCTCGGTAGTGGAAGCCAACGTCGGGGAAAGCGTCAGACTGCCCTGCACAGTGGAAGCATCGCCAGCTCTCACCATTGAGTGGCAGAAAGACGGGCAGCCCCTCTCCTCTCCCAGGTGAGCTCCCAGGCAGGTCCACTGTACCCAGAGGCAAGTTCATGTGGAGGAGAGCCTCCTCCTTGCCTTGCTTTCCCTGTCTCCTCCCGGAGAGAACAGAGCAGTTGGCCGTGCATCCAGGGCTGCCCTGCTTTGTGCTGGCCAGCTTCCTCTGTTCGGGCCAGACTGTACTGCCTGACTGCCCTGGCCTCACTACAGATCAAAGTCTGAACATTGCACCCTCAAGTGAACAGCTGTGATAAAGGGCCTACAAGTGAGCCAAAGCTGAAATTTGTTCATCTACGAGATTAGCAGAAAGAAAACACATGGCAAGCAAATTTGCCAAAAACCAGCTGGTCTGTGAGCCAGGGCAGAGGTTGACAGCAGAGAGAGAGATCAGGGTGCCTGCAGTGAACTTCTGCAGCTACTGGTGATGCTCCCCTGTGGCTCCCCTCAGCCTCTGCTCCCAGAAGGCTGCTCTAGCAGCAAGATTTTCCAGAGGACCAGGGGTTGCACTACAGGTTGAACTGAGCTGCTGACAAACCTTTGCTCAGTGTCACCACAAAGTTGTGCATGAGGCTTAGCTTCAGCTCCGGTGGCTGGAGTCCCATCCTGACTCAAGCACAGGCTGAGGGGCTTTCTGGCTTTGTTCCCCAGACACAGGCAGCAGTCCGATGGGGCCCTGGTGATCAGCCGGGTCAGCTCTGAAGACGCGGGCTTCTTTACCTGCGTTGCCTCCAATGGACGTGACCAGGACCAGCGCCAGGTCCTGTTCCGACCTCTAGGTACTGGATGGGTGGTGGCGTGCATGGCATGATTGTACACACACACGTGTGCGCACGCAAGCGGGAAGCAGGGAGGGCTGGGCTGGGCAGTGTGGGTTTCTGGTCCGTGCCTCTGGGCTTCACATCTGGTGTTTAACAGGCAGCTTGAGGGCAAGGGAAGAGCGAGTTGTTTTACCCAACGGTAGTCTCTGTGTGTCTAGTAGATCGTGGTGCTCCAGGCAGTTGGGAAGAGCGACTAAGAGCACAGTAAGAGTGACTCTAAGGGCCCTGTTTCTGGGTCACTGGTGTGGAATGCACATAGGAGCAAGAGGAACTAAGGAGACGGTTCTTCTGTGCATGTGATGTGCTTGTGTCCAGCTGGAGGAAAAAGCTCTTCGAGGCCTCTGTTACTTGCCCTTGGTTGGGCCAAAGCCCTTAGGAAATCCACATTCCCCGTAGCAGCAGCAACATTGCTCCAAACATGCTGTTTCAAGGCCTAGGGGCTCATAGCTCATCATAGCATACTTTTCCCATGAGGGAATGCTCCTACTACGAGTGGCAGCATGGCATTGTCTTCCTGTTAGCGATGATTTCCCTTCTCGTTTAGGAGAGCTGAGGATCACCGGTCTTCTGCCAAGCATCACAGTACCCGAGGGAGGGACTGCTCAGCTTCATTGTACAGTGACTGGCAACAATGTGAATATAAGGTGGTCAAGGTGAGCAAAAATGAGACAGAACTTCCCTTTCCTTCTCTTCCTGAACCTCATCACTTGCCCTCCAAATAATAATGCAGGGTGCCTGCCAGGCAAGAGGAAGACCCACAGTTCTCAGCCTCAGCTGGCGTCACTACCCTTTCCTTACCGACTTGCCTGTTGCCTTAAAAATCCTGGGCAAGATCCCTGGGGGGGGTGTAGGGGTCACCAAGTTCATGCTCCAGGAAGGCAGAATTTAAGGTAAGATTTCATGGAGTTCAGAAGGTCTCCATGCTGGAAAGCTACTCACATTACAATAGCAAAAACTAAAATGAGTAATCAGAGGAAGACCTTTAGTTGGTCTTTATAAAACTCTGCCTAACCTTAGCAAACATTTCAGCCCCTACAATAACAGCAATGCTTCTCCCAGCTTCCTGCTGCAACAGTTCTCTTTCTCTACTGTCAAGTGGGAGCAAAGGATAATTTGAAGTGTTTTAGTAGAGGTAAAGGAAAACCTGTGTCCTCTTCTCTTAATGGTTTACAGTGAAACTCAGAATTCGTGCAAGTGTTTAGCGAGGTTTTTCCTCCCCAATTTGAAAATAATCAGTTTTGTTTTGGACTCTTCTTGACAAGGATCCAGAGAGATGGATTGGTAATTGTTTAAATCCCTTTACTCCGAGGGGTAGGACTGAAGTGGGCCATCTCACAAAGAGAGCTTTTCTTCCATATGTGAGTTTGGTATTTGAGTTAAAAAAATTATTGAAGTTTCAGAGTCTGAATGCAACCCTTTTCAGTGAAACAAATTTCATTTCCTTGGTAACTAGGAGTTCATAATTCAGGCAGTTTTCCTGCTGGGCACAGAATATTCCAGGAGGAACAGAACAGACATAATCTTGCTGGTATTTTAAATGTTTTTATAAACAAACTTTTAAGCGAGTGGAAAGAGGGTGCATTGCTCACTACCCCATATGTTCTTCAAGCAATATGTGCTGCTCTCAGTGCCAGCCAAACAAGCACTGCCAGACCACAACCTGGAGAGAGGGAAAGGCACCCTGGATTTTCTCTTAGTTCCTCAAACCTGAGAAATGTGTAATAGCAGGAAGGGCAATGTCTTCGTACAGCGCGCACAGCTAGCTGCCTCCCACGCAGACGGTGGGCAAACGGATGCAGACTCACTCGGGCTCGTGTCACTACTCAACCGTAAAGCCAGGTCGTGGCGAAAGAAGATTTTTTCTTCCTTCCGGCTGAATCTGTAAAAATTCATGCCTTTCACAGAGCATCAGTCCCCAGGGAGCACAGAGAGCTCCTTTAGCCCCCATGGGTGGGAATAGTGACACAAAATGTTTTCGCCACAGGAACGGAGTCCCTACAC